GAGAACTATCCAACAGTCCTTATCAACAGGGCAAATTCAAAATAATTTTCATTTCATCATGTTTCCTGAAAGTTAGCAATTCAGTGTCAAAGGCCAGATTCCTTCCACCACTCTGTAAATATTCAATTAGTGAGCTTTACAAAGTCTGAGTCAGTGGCTGAGGTTCTTGCCCCCTGGTCTGTATCCATTTTTAGACGACCCCTGCTCTCATCCAACCCAGTCTCACGGTATTTCGTGTTATAGTCACAACATTTAATCTATCTATTTTTGTCGCTGCTTTTAATTGAACTATTCATATCTTAGACTGCACTGTAACTTTTATCCATGTACTTTTTTCTTTTAATGTTTAATTGACAGCACTGTAACTTTTATCCATGTATTTTTTCTTTTAATGTTTATTTTATTAGCTTTTCTTTTTAATGACTGATTTTAAATGCCATTTTCTTAATCTCTTTCATTTTTTGTAAAGCACTTTGAATTGCCTTGTGTTGAAAAGTGCTATATAAATAAACTTGCCTTGCCTTGCCTTGCCTGCCTTGCCTTGCCTTGCCTATTGATTCGTGTTCACCAACACGATTTTCGCCTTTTTTTCGTGTCACACAGAACGATTTTAAAAGCAATGTATTTTTATTGGTAGTATGTTAAGCTGTGTGGTTCATAAAAACATGTTCTTACTCAATACTCAGTATAATGTCTGACTTTTTTGCCGTCCGTGAGGAAAATAAATGGGGCTCAGCCTCAGAATACTGAAATCGGTATTTTTAAATCTTTTTTTCCTTCTAATTTGTTATTCTTTTCTAAATAACACACTGTTATTTACTCACCAATAACACACAATTATCCTTGTTTTTATTTATTTGTTCTAATCTTTGTTCTAATCTCTGGCTTTTTTGGCGTCCGTCAAGAACAGAATTTCAAAATAAAATAACTGGAAACAGATACACACCCACTGAACTGATTACCCAAGATCCTCAGCTATGGTTTAAGCTCAGTGATTGGATTGTTTAGCCGCAATGCACGTTTGCATATGGTGTTTATATGATATGAAATCCGAAAAACATTTAAAAAAAAAAAAAACTTTATTCCGAGTGTGCTTGCTTTTCTCTTTGGAAGTCATCACATAACGGCATTATAATACACGGTTCAGCTGCATTAAATATGACACATCTGCTGTAGTTCTTTATTTATGGAGCCCTGATTAGGAGACCTTTGGACAAACTGGAAGAACTGCCACGGAAACTGAATACTTGACGTGGATCATAAATATATCAGCAATTAAACCACATCTTCAATTTCTCTTCACACAATACGTCTCCTTGCAGTATCAACACTAATTCGGCTGACTTTTACATTTGATCTAATTCATAGATAGGTTATATTTACACCATAACGGTGCTGATAGAAAAGGACTGTAGTTTTTAAAGATATTACTGATTTTCTTTAAATGTAAGAATGTAAATACTAAGTCTGAAATAGTATAGCAATATGCTGTAAAATTATGTGAAAGCATGCATAAAACTACACATCTTCAGAAAACAAAAGTGTCCTACACTAATAATACAAAGTTATTATGGCTGTGTGTACCTTGTGTGCACCGCCTAGTGGTTAAAGCACGTTATTGAATTATTGTGTTTTATTTGTTAAAAATATTAAGAGTACATACTTTCATAGGGAGAAAGTATAAATATAGAATATAAAAAATCAAGAAGATACTATAAGTGATCTCTACAATAAAACAGTTTAGTGCAGAATGTACAAAGATATTAATAGGAGGAGGTGCAAAACAGAAAAACGAATTAACCTTTATTTAAACATTAAATAACAGATTAAGGTCTTCTTTTAAATAAGAAAAAAACGTTGGGGGTATCTATCTACAGATAAATATTAAGCCTGACAAAGTACTTAACGTCTAATATATTGCTTTCCTGCAATGTTAACTATGTTGAAGCACTTATTTTAACTGATATTATACATATTAATTATACTCTTATGTAGATAGAATAAGAAATGTGCAGAATATGACAGTTTAATGGTGGAGGTACACACATATTGATAGATGTCTTGTAATGCACTGTTGAGGAACCTGTGACCCAAGTGTTTCATTCATTGCATAACTACACCGTAGTTGTGTATATGATATGTCAATACACCTTTGAAAATCTTGAAATGGATGTGCAAAATAGCCATAATATACAGTCTTTAATGAACTATTAGTAGAGAATAACGAGTAATGAATATACTTTATTACTCGTTTCCATTCATGTCAATTGAAGACACATGTTTAGTCTTCTCAAGCACCAACTATCAAATATCTCTCCTGATTCTTGGCACTTGACAATCACCTTACCTGAATTTTACTCAGGTGTAACTAAAGTCTGATTTAAGGATTGTTTATATTTCACATAATTAATCAGAATCTGCAAAGTAACTCAAATAAATGCAGTGGAGTAAAAATACCAGGTTAACCTCTGAATTGTAGTGGAGTAGAATTACAAAGTAACAATGAGCTGTCATGTGGGTATATATTAATGCTGCGCATTATGGACACAAGCTATTTTCACCCATTTATTAATTATATGTTTTACATTTGATAACACCAATGTGTTTAATACTGGCAACTTCTAATTGTGGGAAAAACGAAAACGTTCAGTAGAGACGTCCCATAGAACATTTTGCGAAACACAATAGCCAGCATGTGTAGTTCTGGGGGGGCGTTCGATTCCAGTTTTGGATAGTCTGGCGTGGTTTCGTTCCATTTCACACAGCTGTTTGTCGCTATGACACATATTGTTTGACTGTATGGGAAATCAGTGTAGCACATGCAGCAGCAAATAAGAGGTAGCAGATGTGTTACATTATCATAATGTTCTAACAATATACACATTGTTTTATGATTGCATAAGTTATATTTATCCCACCTTTAACCTAACATTTTTGACAGAATTATAATTGGCCATGGGTTGCAAAGTCCTTTTAAATAAAATCTACTTATTGGCTTTATGGCTGAAAGTTAGATGAAAAAGTGCAAGCTAGCAGACAGTTACTGTAGCTTAGCTTAGCATAAAGGCTTTAAAGGTCCCATGTCATGGCCATTTCTACTGATCATAATTCCATTGTTGAGGTATAGGCTACTACAATAGATTTATACTGTACAATTTTCCAAACTCACATTGGTTTCTCATACAGCATCTCTGTAAAGTATGTGTATTCACTCTCTGTCCTAAACAGCTTGTTGGAGCTCCTGCCCCCCCCCCCCCCCTGTGAGCCCAGTGTGCTCTGATTGGTCGGGACGTTGAGAGGCTCGTTGCTGCGATCTGCTGCGAGGAGCGGAAGCCTGTCCGCTCCACGGAGCAGATCGCAGCAACGAGCCTCTCGGCGATACAGCGAGAACAAGCTAAATTCATCCTGAGCACACACAAACACTCACAGCCGAAGTAAAAACAATAAGTGTGGCTTGATATTGAGTAAGAAAAAGGTTTATAACGCTGTGAATGGGTCTGCGGAGAGCATTTCTCCACGATCCCAACTTAGTTGCCCGAAAAACGTGTACCCATTTAAACAGTTGTGGTAGATACCTTGTTTGTTTTAAACATCATAAATACACAAACAACAATGAATACTTACAGGTTGTGTACCCGAATCTCCCGCTGGTCCAAACAAAGTAGGAACAGCATCGTTCTTCAGTGCCCTACGCTGTACATATCCGGCATGAATCGCTGAAAGGTTTGGGAAGCTTTGTTTCGTGAAAGGCTGGCAGAGAGTGTGGCCTCTGGGTATCTCCACGTCAGAGTACCCAGGAAGAAAATGAGAAATCTCCAACGAGGCGTTTTGGGGAGGTATTTTCTGTGTTAGAGTTTTACTCGCTACAGGGTGTACTTTGAGGGTTTTTGACTCTGCAGACCGTTTACATGCATAAACACCTTCATAACACACAAGGGGACGGGTAATAACCGAAAAGCATGACATGGGGCCTTTAACAAGGTATTCACAACATGCCCATTAGTCAGTCTACCTACAGTTACCTATAAAGAAACCATTTTTGAGAAGCCGCTTACTTACATTCACTTTGTCTGACCTGTAAAGCTAGGAATGTAAACATGAAAACAACACCATTTTTAATTAGTAGGTTGTTGTTCTTCAATGTTGAAAAGTATTTCAGACATACATAATTTCAAAAGACAGATCTAAAATGATGATATTTGAGCATTAAATAATGTAAACAACCTTTTTTCAATGCTAAATCTGCTATTTTATCCTGCTAAGCTAAGCATGAAGATACTTCCCAATATGTCAACAAAAAACGTTATGTCTATCTTCATCTTTATCCTATGCAACCTTAATTCTGAATTGGCATTGTAATTTACCAGACAGAGCAAAGACATCACACTTTTAATAAGTATTTCTATTACCCACATTTTTAACAAGATAGTTTACACATTTCAGAGCATGAATCTGATCTGAATCTTAATTTATCTTCAATGTATGTTGGTACACAAAAGGAAAAACACTATGCCCTTACAAGCTAGTTCACTTTCATAGAAAAAACTGGGGAAACTGAAGCAGATACTGGATCTTTTTTTGGTTTTTCGTTCACATTTTTCCTTTTGCGAACAGGTTTTCCATCAAAGCTGTCTGCATCTGCTAGCTGTCAGCCATCCATGTTGTTCATTAGCGAGCCACTCCACTCAGTTTCCCATGGTTCTTTGTTTGTGTGTCATGTATGAACTATGACCTGTGAGCTGATACTGTCGGACTAAATGATCTGAATGTCAGCAATGCATTGTATCAGCTTCTTTTTCAAATAATAGAAAGGAAAGTTGACAGGACAATATGATTGATAATGTGGAAAAATAACTGAAAAAAACCATTAGCGTGGCATTTGACCCACAATATTAACATTCACCTTGATGTTAGATAATGACATTTCTTGGGTGACTTCCCTTAAAGAAACAGTAGGGGTCAGGGTTTAGTTCACAGTTAAGGAGACTGTTCATGTTGGATATGTTAAATATTTATTGTTTTAAGAAACTGTTACCATTTCTCTTCCCAACAGAATTCATATTTTTTCTGAAAAGGCATTGACACGGATAAAATAACCTCTTAACATTAAGTAACTTACAAATGTACATACAAAGTTATCTACTCTGTTGTAAAAAATAATAAATTAGAACAATAAATAGTGTTATTTGAGACAAGCAGCAGAGGTACCGAAAGTCTTTTAAACAAAGTATTTCTGTGACTGCATTTCCTTCGGGTTGTATCCATTACGGTCACATGATTAGGTGCCCCCAAGTCCACTCTTGATTTTCGCCGGCAGATAATAACTGTTCAAATAAGACAATTTACCATAAAAGTGATGGAAGGGTCAAATGATGAGTTGGAGATATGTTGGCGGCACATTGCTATATCACAGAGTTGCAGTTCAGATTGTTTGTTGCCCAGGAATGTGGACAACCCCTGCCCCTATGTCCTGTCTGACTCCCCCATCCCACCATCTTAAAAGTTGCCCAGAATGCCGTTCAGTTCTCCAAATTGAGTGTTGTTTCTCAACCCCCCACACCTTGCTATCACTGTAGCTCGGGGGGGGGGTGGAAAAGAGGCATGTGAAGTGGGAAACAGGATTGGGGTAGATAACCCTGCCACTAGGAGCCTACGTATCAGGAGGCTGCAGGAGGCAGGAGGTCGGACCGCAGAGTTCATGTCTTGTCAGGTTGCCTCAGGGGGGGTCATTCCACTGCGCCAGGACACATGAAGTGCTGATTAGTGTTTGCATCGAGTGGGGAGGCCAGAGATAAGTGGAGAGGAAGACAGATGTCAGTGGAAAAGAGAGGGAGGGGGATGAATGGCCCGCTGGTTCCCACCAGGCCTCCTCACTGTAGGATGTGAAATCTTGTGCATTTTCTTTCTATGACGACGCACCTTGGCATCCCTACCGGCAACATGTTGACTGTTGATCCGCAGCAGACTGTCTTCATTCTGTCTGTTTCTGTTAAGCTGTTTAAAACAAACATTTTCCACAATCATTAATTTAGGAGCACACATAGTTTCATAAATAGTGAATGAACGATGCCAGTCTCATTAAGTAACTCGTGCAGAGATTCTTGCCAGACATTTTTGGCTAACCTCCCTTTTCAGCTTATTGTTGTGTCTTTCCTCTTATTGTAAGACTTCACGATGAGTAAAACTCCCTCAAACCATGGACTATCTGCAGCCACACTCAGCCACCGCCATGCCCTCAAACTTGTACTTGTAGGTGACTATGCCTGTGTCGTCCAAGTACAACAGGGAGATGGGGTCCAGCTTGGTGGGCACACAACAAGCCCTTGCAGCCTTCTGAGGGCTGTTGATGTTGATCAGAGTCTGGACTATGGCATGCTTTGTGGGCGTGACATGCTTTGTCAGTGGGAATGAACAAACGCCAGTGCACTCAAAGGCATCGTAACCAGTCGGGGCGAGGATCCAACTGTCCCATCCAATGTCCTTGAACTCTACGTACAGAGATTGTTTCTTGCAGTGGTTTCCCTTGGCATTGCGACGAATGCGAGATGCCGTGTCGTAGATCAGATTGGAGCGCATTTGGATTAGGTCCTCTTCATCTGGCTCTGATTCTTCATCCCCATCATCCTTCCCCAGCTCCCCCCACAGATCGTTCAGGCCCAAGTCATTTTGAAGAACCATGTTTGAGGTTTCGTGGTCGATCATCTCGTTCAGCTCGCGTTTGTCATCCCGGTGATCGGTACTTTGGTCATCAGAGAAAACAATCAGCAAAGGTGTGTGTTTCTCCTCAGGGCTGGTGTCGATCTGCATATCCCCTTCAAGTCCGTCTTTGTTGTCCTCTGTCATGCTTTGAACATTTTCCTCATTAGCCATGCTTACAATGTGCACCTCCAACCGATGCGTGGTGCCATAGTCCAAATTACGCCATCGTTGAACAGCAGCAGTGAGGTCAAAGGCCTCCCAGCCGTTATCAGTGCCGTAGACCTGCCGTGAAGCCAACTCCACCAGCTCTATCCGTTCTTCCTCCTCTTTCAATACATCTCCTCTCAAAGTATTGTCATCGGTCATGTTGTCATCCACGATATGTGAATCCAGCTCATAGATCGTCACCTTTCGGTCGACACCAGCATAGAGGTGGCGGTCAGTCTGGACAAGTGTGTAGAGGCGAAGCTCTGCCGCTGTGATGCGTTCATGGTGGGGAACTGACACATTAAAGAGTAGTGGGTGACGCCTCACTCCTCCAACACCCACACCACTAGGAGATGAATCTAGGGAAGATAAATACATTGTCAAAGTTGAGCTTTGGTTTAATTTGTTTCTTTAATAAGGTTTTCAGCTGAGTTTTGCAAAAATATCCTAACCTAATTTCATCCTCAATTTCATTCGCATTTGGAAAAGATTAAACAATGATATTTATGTAATTGGAGTTCCATTTCAGAGTAATACTTTTGACATGTTTTGACATACTTATCAGTGCAAGGACATTGCTTTGCACTGAGAACTAACAAGGAACAGGGTCATGACTAAGGCTTGGAATTTAAAACGTATCTTACTATATAAAATAAATAATACATAGCAGCAACGAAGAAGTAAAAGGTGGCTCTTAAATTGACTCAATCTATTTGATCAACAGGGGCATTATCAAATGGAGCACTGGATCTTTACCTTCATTTTTGAAGCTGCGGATAATGTTGGCAGTGGGCATGGCAGTGCGGTCATTAGCAAAACGGTTGTAGAGCTCCATCATGTACTCAGGTGGCTCTTCCCTTGTGCTTCCAGGAGGCAGGGGCTGAGGATCCAAGCCAGACAGATTAAAAGTCCGCAGAAACTGTTCCTTCAGGCTCTGCAACAGGCTCTGCATGCTTATGTTGTTGTCCTGCTCCAGAAGTGATGTATCCACCACCCCTCCATGCCCGTCTGCCCGATGCCTCTGATTGGTGTTGGAGATAGGGCTGCTCAGTCCACAGAGCCCCTGGAGCAGCAGGATGGAAAACAGCACCAGCAAAGTCTTGGAGCTGCAGATCGTTCCCAGTTGAGAGACCCAAATGCTCGCCATGGGAAAATCTGCAGCTTTCTATTTTATGCCCTTTGGGGTTAGATAAGCTGAGGCACCAGTAAAACAAAAATAATTGTGTTTTCTGAACGCCTTAATCCAAATGCTAATCGAAATTGTGGTCAGTTCATCTATAGGCAAAGAAAGGTCTAGATCCCTGTCAGTAGACGTTAGTGGTGTTGACCCTCGCACTGACTGCTCTCTTCCAGATCTCACAGCATTTATTTCATGCACACCTTTTGATGTCCTTTACAAAAGGGTTGCAGTTCCGGTGACAGGGTGGCCAGGGCTTGGCTTTGTCCGTCCGAGTCATCTCTGTTGTGTCTTCTCCTGTCTCGGTCTCTCTGTGCTCTGCTCTGTTCTTCCCAGCTCTTTCTTTTTGTCCCTTATCTATGATATGGTGGGCTCTGCATTGCTCAGTGCTTATGGTCTCCTTTGCTGGTGTGTGTGTGTGTGTGTGTGTGTGTGCACGTGCATGTGCGTGCCTTTAACTTTGTGTGAGGCACATGAGCGTGTCTTATCTCACAACTTCCTTAATGAGGATTTTGTAAACACTGTCCTGTAGCCTCTTCCTTGTGGAAGCGCTATTTTGTTTGGGTGGGTGCTCCAGGGTTGATATTCCTCATTTGTTTATTTGCTTTGTAAATGGTGGAGTTCTGCAAGCTTGACCATTTCTTTATGACAAAATACATCTAGGCTCTGTTGATATTGTTGAATGTAACAGGATGTATCTATTAAATGATATTTGTCCACATTGAAATGGAAATGCAATGAGGTGTGAGGCCTTAATGATCAAGGAGGAATGATACAGAACTGACTGTGAGTCACAACACAGTAGTACAAAAAAGCATTCTTGTTCCCTAATGCTTGCTGAAATGTTTTGTGTTTACTTCCTATATTGGTAAATTGACTGTGTCTGGGCACAAGAAGTGCTACTTAAAAAATGCAGAAGCTAGAACATACAATGCAATCTACATCGGTTATCCATAGAAATGCATAATCATAATTGTTTTAATGTACCTAGGCACAACAAGGGCTGGCCCCACTTTACATTTCTGAATTGTTATGTTCCCTCGCTGAGATCATTTAAGTTTATTGACCTATAGACCAAAATGTTTGCTTAAAACTTAAAAAACACTACTGTAAGGTATATGTCATTTAACACTCCGTTTTATCTTATGACATTTGTTATATATTGTAATTATTCCTGCATTTATTATTACAATATTATGTTCCTGCAGTAAATCAATCTCGCCCTTTTTTATTTACTTGTATGTATTGGGTATACTGTGTCTAGCATTGTTGGAGGTGCTTGAGATTTACGACAATAAAGCCTTTAAATCTGGAAGTAAATGTGACTGTTGCAGCTGTGGCTTTCACCCTTAAATCCATCTTTTCCTAGTTGTAAAAAACACTGTCAGTCAGTAGTTTTAAGAAGCAAACCCACCTGTTCATTCAGTGAAGATTTAACAGGTTTTTTTTTTATTTGCTATTTCCTGTTTTACTTTCTCTTTTTTTGTTAACGTTTGCATTGTTCACCACCTAGTGACAATGGTTCCCAAAGACACTTTGTAAATACACGGTACTCACTTTCACTGCTACCAACATGGAGTCAAGGGGCTGGTCAGATGTTTTCTGATCAGATTAATAACAACTCTTCAAATAAATCTACTCATCGTCACCTGAACCCTCATCCCACTACACAACTGTCCTTCATTCCTAAGCTTCTTTGCATGACCTGCAGATACACTCCTGATTGTGGCGCGTCACAGAGATGGGAAGAAATGAGCTTTTCCTGCCGCTGCCACCCATCTGCCAGGCTGACAATTGACAGACGTGCTGTTATCTTTCACTCTGTTAAACACATCTTCCTGATGACCGTAAGAAGGCTGGATAATGGAAATGTTCTTTTGCTCAAACACACATTCACGCAGACAGTCCCATCCATATGGTCTGTATTATGGTCCTAAGGGTGTAAGAAATGTGGATGTATGGGAAAGAGCTGCTATTTTAGGATTGATCCTCCCCACATACAGTATTATGTGCTGATATTAAATATCTAAATGTTACGGTTTTCATCTGTGTTTCCCCCACAATGGTATGTTTTTTTAGGATGGAAAATGAATGAAAAACTAACAGATGGTAGGGGAGAATTTCTATATTCAATTTCCTGTCCTTATCACGTGGGTTTCGCCACACCCCCATCTCTTTAGGAGACTGTAGCAGTGACCATCAACTGGTGGCCCGCGGGCCACATCCGGCCCGCCAGACATTCTGATCCGGCCCGCACGGCGGGGGTGACTGTGGCGTTGGCGGAGTGGTTAGTGCTTTTGCCCCCCACTAATTTTTTTTTACAACGTCTCGTGAGTAATATGCAGTAGCGGAGTCCAACAGCTGCGGGACAGTAGCCTGCGTACTGCGTAGCCTTCCCTGCCCTGAAGAAGAAGTGATCATAACGCCCTAACTATTTCATCTCTATAATGATAAATAGGCTTGTAAGCTCTCAAATAGCAAATTAAATATAAATACCTTAGAGTGCTCCCACTTTAGAGACAGGAGTTGTAGCCTAAACCATTTTGTACCATTGGCTTTACTTGTTATGCAATATGTTAATATATATTTCGTTTCAGAGTATCTTTGTTGCTATGTTAGCAAATGTTAGCATGCCAACACACTAAACTAAAATGGATAACACCTAAAAATACCTGATGTTAAATATCAGCATGATAAGTGTGAGTAATAGGTATTAGCTTGTTAGCAGGCTGATGCTAACATTTAGCTTCAATCCGCATGGATACGCAACCCAGTCTCATGGCATGTCGTGTTCACCAACACGATTTTTAATCTATTGATTCGTATTTTCCCCTTTTTTTCGTGTTGCACAGCACGATTTTAAAAGCAATGTATTTCTACTGGTAATGTGTTTCGTGCCTGCAGCACGTCTTTTTCTCCGGTCAGGTCGTGTTCTTACTCAATATCAAGCCACAATTATTGCTTTTATTTTAAATCGTATAATTTCGGACTTTTGTTGCAGTCTGTGAGGAAAATAAATGGTACTCAGAGCCTCAGAATACTGAAATCTGTATTTTTAAAAATCTTTTTTTCCTTCTAATTTGTTATTCTTTTCAAAATAACACACTGTTATTTACTCACCAATAACACACAATTATCCTTGCTTTTATTTATTGGTTTAATTCCATAATCTCGGGCTTTTTTGGCGTCCGTCAGGAACTGAATTTCAAAATAAAAATAACCGGAAACAGACGTAGGCATTTCGAGTGATTACCCAGGATCCTCAGCTATGGTTTAAGCTCGCTGATTGGATGTTTTAGCTGCAATGCATGCTGGGATTTGGCGTTTATATGATATGAAATCCGGAAAACATTTTAAAAGAATAAAATAATACTTAATCCCGAGTGTTCTTGCTTTTCTCTTTGAAAGTCATCACATAACGGCATTGTAATACACGGTTCGGCTGCATTACATATTACAGATCTGCCGTAGTTCTTTATTTATAGAGCCCTGATGAGAAGACCTTTGGAAAAACTGGAAGAAATGCCGCCGAAACTGAATACTTGACGTGGATCATAAATATATCAACAATTAAACAACATCTTCAATTTCTCTTCACACAATACGTCTCCTTGCAGTATCAACACTAATTCGGCTGACTTTTACATTTGATCTAATTCACAGATAGGTTATATTTACACCATAACGGTGCACAGCTGATAGGACTTGTAGTTTTTAAAGATATTATTGATTTTCTTTGAATATAAGAATGTAAATACTGAGTCTGAAATAGTATAGCAATATGCTGTAACATTATGTGAAAGCATGAATAAAACTACACATCTTCAGATGTTGTACATACATAAGTGTCCTACACTAATAATACAAAGTTATTATGGCTGTGTGTACCTTGTGTGCACCGCCTAGTGGTTAAAGCACGTTATTGAATTATTGTTTTTATGTGTTATATTTGATTAAAACAATATTAAGAGTACATCATTTCATAGGGGGAAAGTAGAAGGTCTGTGATAGAAATATAGAATATAAAAAAGCAAGAAGATACTATAAGTGATCTCTACAATAAAACAGTTTAGTGCAGAATGTACAAAGATATTAATAGGAGGAGGTGCAAAACAGAAAAACGAATGAACCTTTATTTAAACATTAAATAATACTTTAGATTAAGGTCTTCTTTTAAATAAGAAAAAAACGTTGGGGGTATCTATCTACAGATAAATATTAAGCCTGACAAAGTACTTAACGTCTAATATATTGCTTTCCTGCAATGTTAACTATGTTGAAGCACTTATTTTAACTGATATTATACATATTAATTATACTCTTATGTATGTAGATAGTATAAGAAATGTGCAGAATATGACAGTTTAATGGTGGAGGTACACACATATTGATAGATGTCTTGTAATGCGCTGTTGATGAACCTGTGACCCAAGATTTTCATTCATTTCATAACTACACCGTAGTTGTGTATATGTCGTTTCCATTCATGTCAATTACAGATAAATGTTTAGTCTTCTCAAGCACCAACTATCAAATATCTCTCCTGATTGTTGGCACTTGACAATCACCTTACCTGAATTTTACTCAGGTGTAACTAAAGTTTGATTTAAGGGTTGTTTATATTTCACATAATTAATCAGAATCTACAAAGTAACTCAAATAAGTGTAGTGGAGTAAAAATACCAGGTTAACCTCTGAATTGTAGTGGAGTAGAATTACAAAGTAACAATGAGCTGTCATGTGGGTATATATTACTGCTGCGCATTATGGACACAAGCGATTTTCACCCATTTATTAATTATATGTTTTACATTTGATAACACCAATGTGTTTAATACTGGCAACTTCTAATTGTGGGAAAAACGAAAACGTTCAGGAGAGACGTCCCATAGAACATTTTGCGAAACACAATAGCCAGCATGTGTAGTTCTGGGGGGGCGTTCGATTCCAGTTTTGGATAGTCTGGCGTGGTTTCGTTCCATTTCAAAGAGCTGTTTGACGCTCGGCGTAACCTTGGCGCACTCCAACATCCAATCCCAGAGCTTGAATATTAATCACGGGGACTGTAGTCCTAAACGATAGCTGGGGATTATGGGTAGTGTAGTGTCTTCGGCCATCCTAAACTCCTAGAGGCCTACGTCTGTTTCTGGTTATTTTTATTTTGAAATTCAGTTCCTGACGGACGCCATAAAAGCCCGAGATTATGGAATTAAACCAATAAATAAAAGCAAGGATAATTGTGTGTTATTGGTGAGTAAATAACAGTGTGTTATTTTGAAAAGAATAACAAATTAGAAGGAAAAAAAGATTTTAAAAATACAGATTTCAGTATTCTGAGGCTCTGAGCCCCATTTATTTTCCTCACAGACCGCAACAAAAGTCCGAAATTATACGATTTAAAATAAAAGCAATAATTGTGGCTTGATATTGAGTAAGAACATGTTTTTATGAACCACACAGCTTCCGGTCTTCCACGACCCGACCGGAGAGAAAGACGTGCTGCAGGCACGAAACACATTACCAGTAGAAATACATTGCTTTTAAAATCGTGCTGTGCAACACGAAAAAAAGAGGGGAAATCGTGTTGGTGAACACGAATCAATAGATTAAAAATCGTGTTGGTGAACACGAAATGCCGTGAGACTGGGTTGATATACGTCAGTTATGATGTATCACCTGCTAGCGGTTTCTACAATCACGCACAATATCCTCAGCTTTCAGGTGTCTTCATCAGTATGACAGGATATTGTTTTGTTTTTTTTCTTCCATTATTTCTGCTTTTTGCTTCATATGAATGCTATTCAGTTGTATTTGCATCTTAGCAATAATGTACAAATACTAAAGGTTTTGTTTTCATGCATCAAGAAAAACATTTAAATGTGTGTTTTATTAATTTGCCACTGAAACGAAATGGACTTTTCACTTATAGGATACACGCTGTTCACCATTAAAATATATATATATCCGCCCACTTGACCTTTAATCAAAGTGTTCAGTCTATGCCAGCCTTTCATTTTCGAGGACAGCAGTAGCAGTAGTCTTTCTTTGTAAATAGTAATATTCAGATATAAACTTTCCTCACAGACACAAACAAATGAGCCAATCATTTATCTTCTATTAAACCGAGCTCAAATGGAAACAATCCAGTGGAGAAAATAGCATTTACCATAACCATTTCATGCAAAATTAGCTCTGTTGAAGTTTGCAGAGTCATAAATCTATATTTTAGTGAGTCTTAAAGTAACCGTTAGGTGGGATCTTGTGGCTTTTTAGGGAGGAACTGCTGAATGTCTCTTTGGAGCTCCTTGTTGCGTCTCTGGGCCTCGTCTCGGCTTCGCTCAGCATTTCTCAGGCAGATCTCCAGCGCGGCCACTTTGCTGCGATCGGCCTCCAGGCCGGACTGGAGCTCTGCCACCGTGGCCTTCAGCTCCTTGTTCTCCTGCTGAAGACTGCAAGAGACGGTGAGAGACACATGAGGCTCACAAATACATCTATTCTGGAAACAGCGCAGTCTCTGTGATAGCAAAAACAAACAAATCCAAGAATATTGAGTAAAAGTCCCTGATTGAATTCCCCTGTTTTCAATCTAAATTAACTTGTAACAAGAGTTTCCTGGAAGTCAGTGTCATTTTCTTGATTCTAGTTCAGTCATCTGTCCACATGTAACTTTCATTTTTGCAATATTCCCAAAACAAGAAACGCTATTTTTGGAACAAAATGGGGCTGGACATAAAACACTATTTATTAGTTGTCAACAGTTCAAGACACAATTTCTGGCAGGTGACAGGAAATGTTTTCTGAATATAATTTGATTTCAATCTTGTGTTTCACTTTAATCTTGGTGTTAGAATTGAAGGATTGCATGCTGCTCCTTTGAGATCCAAGTTTTTAATAAAGTGCAGCAGGAATTACATGATGTGTTGGCCAAACCGAAAGTTAGCATTGTACTGGTTCCCATGACATAAAGCAAATGGATTTTCTTTGCCCATAAGATAAGATAAGGTGAGATAGTACTTTATTGTTAATCCATTGTTCATTTATTGTAAAGAAATAAGCTCTATGGAAAGCAAAGGTTAAGATAATGCCAAATGTTGTTCAGCAAGATACTATTTACTCAATATAACCAATGTTGTAATTTGTTCAAGGTAAAGCAGAAGCTCACGTCACATGATAGTGATTGACCCTTTTCCAGCCACTAGAGATATTTTATTTGATGTCAGTTGTTAAACTCTTCCAGCTAAAACTAAGCGACAGACAAATTACTCAAAAACAAAATTGATTTGGTTGTTAAGCTAAAATAGTTCCTCAAAAGATATTGATCACCTCAATATTCCATTAGACAACATTGTTATAATAGTAATCTTGTGGTAAAGAACTGCTTTATCAGTGATAGTAACTTAAAACTTGAAAAGTGTGTAGCCTACAAAATGTTTCTTTAATGGCAAGGGTCTCTCTGGTGTGTAATTCCTCACCTTTCTACGAGCTGGTTGTCTGTCTTCTGCTCCGGCTTGTTGGTGGCTGTGAGGTTCCCTACTCTCTTCTGTTGGGACACCCCAGGCTGGGGGTCACTGTCTGGTTTTTGGGGGCCCGGAGAAGAAGAACTTGTGTTGTCACTTACTCTCCGGGCCACTAACTTCTCCTCTCCCCCTCCAAACAAAGACCCTGAACTCCGGAGGTCCAGGATCTTAAAAATGTCCTCTGACAGCGTCCCACTCTTCTCCTCCGCGCTCTCCTGGACTTGGCTCCAGCGGTTCAGGGCGTCCGCCTTGGCAGCCATCCCAGTGAGCGGGCAGTTGAAGGCTGGCAGGGTCTGGGTGCGTTTTCGGGGGCTTCCCGACCAGCCGTCTGGTGTGGGGGTTCGGGGGTCCTGCTGAGGAATCAGGGGGCTGAAAGAGTCTCTGCTGGGACCCGGACAGTCGATATCCTCCTCCTCTTCTGGAGACTCAGACAGAGAAGCATCTCCCATCTGAGACAAAAGCACATGAAGATTAATAACATATGTATATCTACTTCCTCGCACAATGTGAAACGTTCAATATGATATGGAGCGTTTTTAACAGATCCCAGACTTCAAGGAACTTTATGATGAATCTCTTATCATGTTATGTATTATTTATATTGAGTTAATATTCATGCTAGTGTTACAATACAATATATGTACTTTGATGCTTTGACAGCATTGTTTTTTTGCCCAGAAAGTACATTTATTTAAATGATTATCAACATTTATGCAAATTAATTGTCATACTTTTGAACAGGTTTAATAAATTGCCCATTAATATGTGTTTTGGCACTTGTCTTTCTTTAACAAAGGAGAATTGATTTGGGACTTTCTTGAGACTTGGACAAAAATAAAATACAAATATTATTTTTTTCCCCACTATTACCCGTTTTCGGGGGGACTACATTTATCATTTTAAAATGTCATTTGCAAACAAAAAATAACGTAATCACTTGAGTCATTAGTCCGACAAAGATGCATGGAAACGTCTTTCTACAAACACAAATCGCCAATAATTCGTTCCATTGCCGAAATACATGCCTTTATACTAAAAGAGCTGTGTGGCCATGTGCTCGTACCTCTGCAGACTCCCAGCCCACGAAGCTTCGGGGCGCGTTCTTCTGGCTCTCAGCCTTCTTTGAAGGCAGGGAGGGAAGAACGTCTTTGGAGAGAGGAAACAGAGCCTCGTGCTGTCGGATCATCACCGTCATCAGCTTCTGGATCTGAGGAGTCGCTGTGAAGAAAACAAACCTGGAAAGATTATCATCAAAAGGTCTTCTCTTCAGGTTTTTCTTTTTATCTTTTAAATGTCAAAGCAAGATTCAGTTACTTTTTTTTCTTATGTTGTATTTGTGTACAATGCCTGATTGCTACCTAACATCTTCATCAAAAAGAGAGAATAAGAGTCATAGTACAGTATGTCATAACAAAATTAATTCAACAGTCAAAGTTTGCCATAAAAAAGAACTATATTTGAAACTTGAAAGCCATATTATTTTGTAAAAATAATGCTTTGCATAAAAAGTCATTAAAAATCATAGTATACTATGTCATTAGAAGTAATTAAAACGTTGTATAAAGTGGTTAAAAAGTCATTATTACAATCTAGCATTGAAAATGTCAGAAAACAGTTTTTAAAAAAAGTAAAACTTGATAGTATCATATTTTGAAAAAGTTTATGTGGGGGAAATGTGATAAAAAAAATAATTGAGGGAAACCTAATGTTTTTATTTAACTGTAAGAAGAACTGTAGATAAGAAGACATAGAAACTGTATGTCAGTATTAATTTAAGATAGTAGGAAAATGTAAATGGATGAAGAACAATACACGGGTATCTAAATGAGCCTTCTTAACCTTGTAAGGTAGGTTTTTTGTAAAAATCAGTGTTATTCAACTTACTATATAGTTGAAAAAAGAGAAGGATAGTCATTCTGCAATATTAACACATCAGATAATTGACTCATAAAATTAGTAGTCACATAAAGTCTGGTTTCAGGGATTTTCCAGATGTTGAGTAATAGAGAGAAGTATATATTATAAGCCTAATTGGGACCAGAATATCAGGCACATGATTCCAACACACATCTGCACATATGTTGGTTGGTCAGCAGTGTGTTATCATACCCTTCATCACAGAGATGGGGTCTTCTATCTGAGGTTTGAGCAGGTTGATGCCCATCACTGTGGCCAAGTTCTCCACATTCATCTTGTTCACACTGGAGTGCTGCTGCACCTCGAACAAAAATCTGCAAAAAGAGAAAGCATCGAAAACAGATGGTCTTAATATTAGTTGGGACGGAAACTGATCTCAGAAGAACATTTGGATTGTGTTAGAAGAGGGACTTAGATTCTGTCTTCCTCAGGGACGTGTCATTGAACAACGATGTTCTCTCTAAACAGACGGGCTGTACCAAATAGTTCAAAGCTTAGCTCATAACATGGACCTCCAAATTGTAACTCAGAATTCAAAAGCTGACCAGAATTTAGTTGTTTATGTTTATAAATCCACTTTCATATTATCTGTAGGATTAGATTCAAGTGGTGGATGTGTAATGTCATAGGACCAACATATCATATGTTTGGAGGGGACAAAGCATTGTTACGAGTACGTTAATGTATACATTAGTTCCCCTTTTACTTTCTCAACCCGTCTCTCAAACACACAAACACACCCTCAACCAGGGGCGGCGCCAGGGGGGAGCTAGGGGGTGCTGAAGCACCCCCCAGGATTGCCAAAGCACCCCCTAAGCACCCCCAAGAAATATGTGCTTTTTTTTCTTTTAGAAAATTATTATTTTTATTAAATTAGAAAAATTATTGATTACATCAATGCAAATGTGAAACAAACAAATGTTTGACCAAAAACATAAAGCCAACACAGGTGATATGATTAGGCCATTGGCCAGCACCCATTAGATTTTTGACCTACCCATAGGGTAAATTACTTTGTGACACTTGAGTAACTTCCTGTTAGCTAGAGCGCCAAATTATTTGCTAACAGCAAAGTGACAAATGGATCGTTTTTTAGTCCTTAAACGTCCACATGTGGACACTCAATCAAAACCACCTGAAAGCGAGAAGGATTCTGCACATAATAGCATAGCCTCGTAAATACAAGTAGCTTACTTCTGGGTCTCTGTGTTTCATTCAAGCTCTGCTCTGTGTGTGTGTGTGGCACGAGCCATTTTGTGTGCGCGAGCGAGCGAGAGAGAGATCTACCGGAGATCGTTGTGGTTAGCATCTGGTGCTAGCTAGCCAAGCTAACGGATATAAGGAGCTTTTTCAACAACAAGGTGGAGGGAGAACTCTCTCCTGTCAGACTGAGAGTCTCAGATAACCTCAGTTCAGGTGAAGTAAAGAACTCTCAGTGTTTAGTTAACTTTAGTCTAGTTATCTCAGTGGGCCTCAAACGGTTTGTTTTAAAAGGGGAGTGATTTGTAGAATATCTATAAAGAAATAGAAAATCTGTTTACAGTTCTGTTTCATATGTATGTTGAGAGATGTATCCATAGATCTCTTAATGTTGCTCTCAAAGTGCACCAGATTGATGCTTTTAACTTCAATATTTAAAAAAAATCTTCATGCTCCCCCGGACCCCACTAGAGGAGGTGAGGGTCCCCTTAGAGGAGGTGAGGTTCACCCCCCACTTGTAAAAATAGCACTTTACCCTGCTTACACCTATATGCCTTGAGCTGATTATCGAGCCTTCATTGTAACAGTTGCGGGTACACTGTGTGTGCGTGTGGGGAGTGTTGCAGTAGAAAATTCAACTGTAGCGCTGGTGCATTAATGGGAAACCCTTAATGTTTGAGCCATAGGTTTGAGCACCCTCTATGAAACGTCAAGCTACCCCACAGCACCCCCTAGAGAAAATCTCTGGTGCCGCCACTGCCCTCAACATGAGCTCAGTCCTCAATCTGCATTTAATTATGTTGACTAAACCAACACATTTTAAGTAAAATGTGATATATTCATTAATGGTTTAACTAGATAATCGAATGTATTTAATCCAATATATATCCATTTATTTAAAATGCGGATACAAAATATACATATCTATGGTGATATTGAACATTAAATGACATACATATGAAGCTTCATTTGTAAACCTTTTTGTTATAGCCCTAATTGGCCTCATTGACTAACCAAGAATGTCCCATAATGCTTTGCAATCCAGTTTGTACTCACCGACAGACATAACTGAGAAGGTTGTAGTTGGTTCTGGGAAGAAGAGCAATTTGTTTTTCCAACTTTTTCCAACCCTGAGAGGACACATGAGGAAAAGATTAAAGAACAAGGCCTCACAAAATACCACATGACCTCTCCTACATGTACACTCAAACATTATATAGTATATATATTAAATAATACTGCAGCCAAACGTACCTCTGAGCCGCTCGAGTCCAGCAGGTTGGTGCAGTCCAGGAAGTCTTGGTACTGAGTCCAGGGCACCACGGGCTCCGGGAGCTCGCGTAGGTACAATTTGAGCAGAGACGCCACCGTGTGGACATCTGTGTCACTGTGGGTAAGGACACATATTCTACAATTAACATGCAAATACTGTGTAACCTAAATCAAAAAATAATACGCTTGCATGCATTTTTCCTGATGCATCATTGACTTTTAGTAATGGGATTCACGGCTCTATGAAGGGAGCCGGATCTTATGGCTCCGTTCCTTTCCGAGAGCCGTTCAAAAGACCCATTTTTAAGGGGGCGGGGTTAATAGGTTTATCTGCGAAATAATCACCAGGATAATGATTGACTGTATTGCCAGACCTAATGTCTCGTGCCTAAACCTAACCAATCAGAGTAGGGGCGGGTCTTCACAGAATACGCTTGGGGAACAAAATCAAGCTTTTTCACTGTTCATGTAAAGGCGAGTGGAAAAGAACGGCTCTCACCAATTAAGACTCCGTTCCCTTCGTTCGTAGCAAAGAGCTGTTCAAAAGAATCGGATCGTTCGTGAACGTAACATCACTAATTGACTTGCAGTCTGCTTGATTATATGCTGTGAATGTAAAGCCATTGGAAGTTGTGGTCTTTGCCATCATTGTCGTCACTGCAGATAGGCTCTCCTGTAAAGGGTCCTTTATTATATATCATTCAGAATGTGAGCCAAATTATTACCTGAAGTCTACTCTACTCTTAAAAATAAACAGCCCCACGGGGTAAAACCAATACAAATTCAAATGAATAGTAGTTGTGTGTGAAAATCTGTTTCTCCAGGGCAGTTTGGCAGACACACTGTGAGGAGGAAGGGCTGCCAGCTACCGCTAACGTTCTCTCAGCTTCACAAGACCTAACCTAGAGTCTAATTATCCACAGAGGTCTGTCCAAAACCTATGAGCCCGCTGAATCAAATGTTACTGTAAAAATAAGGGTTTCTCCAATGCTATTTGGGTGCTGCTAACATTAGCTCAGCTTCTCTAAAACCTCATGGTCCAGATGTCAGAAGACTAGAATATGTCATGCTGTTAAAAGTAGAGACAAAAAACGCTAAGATCTAAAAAGTGTTTGTTAAAAATGTGTCTTAAAACTGGGTCAAAAGTCAGTTGATGAAAGCTTCTCGCAGACAACAAGACTCAATGGGGGAAATGATGCCACTAAAGGAGACCAAATGAAAAGCACATTTACTTTGGTTAAAATTACACATGTCTCTGGGTTTGTACATTTTGGGAAACAATTGGGATAATGTAAGTACACAACTAAACAAATATAACATTAACATTTATACATTTTGATGTTTTTGAAATGTTACGTTAAACCTTTAAATATAACATGTTTAAGAGTTATTTTCCCTTCTTGACCAAATTTGTAAACATTTACATGGGGTTGTTGTACAATCAACGGTCTTTACAAAGTCCTGCAGGATTGTGAGGTCCTTGACATTTCTGGTCTCTTGGCTTGGTTTTGTATATTTGGCTTAAGCAACAGGCATGGATTCAATTTTATTGTTTGGGCTCCAAGAGTAAAGTTTGAGGGGAAAACGCTTAACTTTGTGTTCATTGTTAGATTTATGGCCTGCAGTTTGACAATCTTTCATCAGCCTTTTTGACTGCGCTCATACTAGATTACTGACAAACATGTAAGGTTGAATGTTTTAATGAACTTTTCTCTGAGAAGTTGAGTAACACAGGCTTCCTCCTGCGTGACTTAACAGGATGTGGTGTCACCTTCAGATCAGACGCTCTGCATCTCTCATCTCTCCTTGTGTTCTCAAAAAGAAAAAAAAAAGCTGATGCTGATCGATTGAGGTTAGAACTTTTTCTCCTTATATAGTAATGACATTTTTAACTCATAAATGTACCAACCTGCTTTAAAAATTGCTTTAAATTGTGCCCTTTCAAGTGTTTTAAGCTAACCACTTTATGCTGAGTAGTTCCTGTTTGTTTCATAACCCAAATAATCCTATTACAAATATAGTAAATGCTACACAATATATATTCACTACTGAAATATACTTGTGTATATCAGTAAAGGTTAGGGGCTTCCAATAATACAAATAATGTTATATTGAGGTGGAAATCTTAAAATGCTTTAAATGATTAACTAATACAACACCATGTTACTTTGTCAGTTAACTACTAACATTAAGGCATTATTTTTTGTAATAGAATATACTGAAATGATATGTTTACATATGCAAATGAGGCATTACCTTATTAAATATCTGGTAATATGCATTCATTTCTATAACACGAATGTGAACCATCTGTTTTTACCACTCCATGAATCATAAATTACGGTCATGAGTCTGAAAACACTATTTACGACATGTATTAAGGAAAACATTTTTATATAAGTCAGGCTCTGAGTGAAATGTGAACAAAGCACTTTGTAAAAACCTTCAGAAGATAGATGATAATTAAACTTCAAAGGTGTATGGTGTATGTCTATTCTACTGAAGTGGAGATTTCTGGTGAAAAAGGATGAGAACAACCTCAGTTTGAGAAAACGGCCTTTGACGATAGGTTAATAGATAGATTAAATTAATGTGTGTCAATGTGACTTACTGTATAGATACCACCATGAAACTTCCCCAGGTCATTACTGACATAAAAACAGAATCTTTTTGTATTTTAAGTTTTACTTTATGTTTAAAAATGCAAATTAGGCATTATTTAACTTGTTATTATTTCAACTGTTGGTGAATTAAGGTAGTATCTAAGACACAAATAGACTAAATTAGTGAAATAAACACCTACACGTGGATGTTCTTCCCACTAGCCTCAACGAAGACACATTATGGAAGCAAAATGGTCCAACATCTTTGTATTCAGTCTGTTCTTACCTGGGGAAGGAGGGCCTCTCTCCGGCGTCGAAGGCGTCTCTGAACTGTTTGACTGCGTTGTCTTGACCCGGCAGGCGGAAGATGCCCTCCTCATTCAAGCCGTGTTCCTTGATGTACTCCACACACTTCTGGACCAGGATCGGCACCATGTGAGGCCCAAACCGCTGCTCATATGTGACAATGTCCATGAGGCTCTTTCCAAACACTGCAAAGGGGTATTAAGTGACATCTTAGACTACTTAAATTATGAGATTAGAAAACGTTTTACACCTTCAAATTTGAGATTGATCTGAAAGATGTAGATATTCTTAGGATATTCTAGATTTCACATGTACTTCTTGTTTCATGGCAAAAAGGCCGACGTTCAGTCACGAAAATTCCAAAAGTGTACAACTTAACAACTCAAAAAGTACTGACAACATTTGAAGACGATATACTTGATTATTAGGAAGGAGTTTGCTACAGAACAGTGCCTTTTAAATGGCTAAAAGTGCACTTTATTTTCCAGAGTGAAGACATTTGTATTTATTTACTTGAAGATACAGCCATCATGCTTAACTCCTAAGTTTACAGTAGTTTAGCATAAAGACCGGATATGTCTAGCATGGCTGTGTACCAAGGTAACAATAGATTTAGACAGAAGCATAGCTAAAGCGTATTCATTCAAATGACGTATGATGTTTGTTTAATCTCTACACAACACGTTTCAAACGTCATGGTTTACCTCCAGGCAACAAAAACAAATAAATCCATTACTAATTTAGGAAAATATCCAAATAATCCTTACATTTACGGTAAAGTCTTGTCACTAAAGAAAGTTCCAGTGTCACACGTTTTGCATAACAATATAAATGTTTACTGAACCTCCACTTGTTGGTACTCCAATGACCCGGCGCAGGGTGCGGACCCACTCCTCCAGATCACTCTGAGAGTTAGCCATGAACACATAGGGACATCGCTCTCTGTCTCCTGATGTACCTGGGAAATCATGGTTGTTTTTAGAAAATGGCATCTTAGTACAGCAAAAAAGTGGGCACACACACGCCTGTCAGTAATCTACATAAAGATTTCCGGAGAAGATCTAGATTGCTATCAGTTTGTGGTCGTTTCTGACTTTCCATTACGCAGGTAAAGTGCAGAGTCATGCTGTCAGACACAAGAAACAGACATGTAATGTAATTATTTATAGTAATGATGGTATACAAATCAAGCTTTAGTGGACATTTCTATGAAGACTATACGTGTATTACGAGGGCATTCAAAGTGAATTTGTATGTATTTATAATGCTCATAAACACACATCATGTGTTCTGATACCAATAGCTATAAGACATTTTATATGTGACTTAGAAGTGTCTCATGGATTCTTTTAAATAGTTATAAAGTAAGGCAAGGCCAGGCAATTTTATTTATATATCACTTTTCAGCACGTGGCGATTCAAAGTGCTTTACAGATTAAAATCAAAAGACATTTAAGAACAAATACAGCATACAAATACATTATTAAAAAGGCATTTAAAAACAGGCATAATAAGCAAAGGTAATGAAATTAAATAAATAAATAAACACAGCAGGTACAGAATACATGACTAAAAAGGCATAGGCCTACTGCTCAATTAAAAGCAGCGGCAAATAGGTGCGTTTTTAGTCGGGATTTAAAAATAGGAAGTGTTTCGGCGGACGTGCATGATTTAGGCAGTTTGTTCCAGATTGTTGGGGCATAATAACTAAAAGCTGCTTTTCCATGTTTAGTGGTTATTCTCGGAACAGAGAGCAGACCCGACCCAGAAGACCTGAGACTCCTGGATGCTTCATAGTGATGGAGTAGGTCGTCTATATACCTCGGTCCTAAGACATTTAGTGATTTAAAAACTAGCAGTAGTATTTTAAAATCAATTCTTTGGCAGACTGGAAGCCAGTGTAATGATCTCAGAACCGGAGTGATGTGATCCACTTTTCTAGTGTCAGTGAGGACTCGAGCAGCGGCGTTCTGAATCAGCTGCAGCTTTGATAGATGTTTTAGTGAGCCCTGTGAAGACACCATTGCAGTAGTCGAGTATACTGAAGATAAAAGCATGGACAAGTTTTTCTAAATCCTGTTGCGACATTAGTTTTTTTAATCCTAAAAACCCATTCATTTAATCCATAAAGCAGAGGCTCATAATATATTATCAACATCAAGCTGCAGTCTTACAGTAAACTATAAATGTAACATAAGTTATAATTGTATCTGTTGAAGTAAAAATGTATGACTATCGTATTGAATGCTGATCATAACGTTTCGTTGTTGGTCTTAAGTAAGGCATTTTCATGCGGTTAAAATAACCTATGCAGCATCATAAGTGGTTGTTGTGCTAATTCAATGTCTTATATATAACACTAACACATGCATTGATACCTTCTCTTCCCATTCACACCACATGTTATATTAAAGCACAACTTTGTGACTTTGTTCACTACAAACTCTTCCTCCTACTTATACTTACTCATACTTTTGAAATGGCCCTAGCCAATTTTCAGTTGTGTAATTAAGTAGATTTACTCAAGTACTGTACTTAAAGGTGGGGTAGGTAAGTTTGAGAAACCGGCTCGAGATACACTTTTTGTTATATTCCATGGAATGCTCTTAACATCCCGATAGCAATGAATATCTGAAGTGCTTTGACAAAAAATCCATAAAAAAATATAATCTGTGGAAGCCGTGCTGTAAAAAGCACGACCAATCATCTGAGCCGGCCCGGCTAAAGTAACTGGATGGCCTACCTGCCTGTCAGCCTTCCATCTGTGCACAAACTTATCTCGTGCCCTCATTGGTCATGTGCGCTCTGTGTGTGTTGGAGGAGGGGCTCTGTAAGGAAGTGGCAGATTTGTTCCGGCTGTGTATTTTCAAATTCTAGCGCACTCGAGCTGGTTTCTCCAAAATTACCTACCCCACCTTTAAGTACGATGTTTGGGTACTTGTACTTTACTGAAGTATTTATATTTCATGCTACTCTACTACATTTTAGAAGCCTATACATATTGTACTTTTTATTCCAAAAAATGTGTTACTAGTTACTTTACATATTAGGATTACTTGTTTATACAAAATATAAATAAACACATAAACTATTATATATAATTTCAGTTTAAGATATTGAGCAGCAGTATATAAAGTAATTAAATTAGCTTAACCTTTACCAGCAGTGATGAACACGTTAATGCATGAATAATAATAATCCAGTCAATAAATATATATGATTCTGAAATGGGACACGACGCACAATAAGTACTTCAAATCAAATTTGATGCCTATACTTTTTTTTACTTTTACTCATGTAAGATTTAGTATACAGGACTGTCACATTTTTACCTAAGTACAACATCTAAGTTCTTCATCCACCTCTGCCAATTTTGCACATTTCTGAACAAAAGTAATCGTAATCTGAACAGCTCACTACTGTATCTTCAAATTCAGATTATATTTCTTTCCTTTTAATATCTGTTCTTAATGTTTTTTTAATTATATGTATTACTATTAATCTTACTGTGTTTATGTATGTCATTTTTGTGAAAACCTTTAAAATTCAGACTATCATTATGTTAACACATGTACTATTATAGCATACTATGAGTCTTTACTGCAGTTAATTGTTAAGTTTGTAGTCATGAACTATTATAAGCCCCATTTGTCAACCTATTTTCTTAGTCTCTATCTATATTTTGCTGTAACAATGTAAATGTCCTTCTGGCGGGACGGATAAAGGAATTTGTATTCTGATTCTCTAGTATATAAGTAATTGTGAGCATCAATAAGACCTTTTTAATTAATTACAGAAACACATCCTTAATGCTTAATGACATAATACATGTGGATGTGTCTCTGCTGTAATGTCACAATAAGACAACGGCACAAGGCATGGAGGTCCCTCTCTAGACAATGCATCTTAAAGTCTGTTATGATCTTTTTCAAAGGTTGATTTCATGCTTACGTGGGATGATTTCGAAGATGTACTTCCCGGGGTCATCAGGGTTCGGAGGGAGTTCATTAACTTTACTGAACCGCAGCTGGATGACTCCCTGGAGAACAAAAACACACACTACGTTAGTGACATGTTCAAAGAGAAGTTAACAACCAACCACTAATATGAGTTAGTTTTCATTTGTCAGAGTTATCAGAGTCCATGTCAGCAGGTATTTTCCCTGCATGTGAAGCACAGTTTCTTTCAATGTGACACCATTGTGCTTTTGCTGGTTTACAAAACTTAAAAATGCATGACCATCCTCACTTATCCATTACCATTAGGGTCCATATCATATTTTATTTTCTAGATTATCCAGGGGCAACTCATATTGCTCGTCTTTGCAGGCTTACTTGCAGATTCTGGTCTTTTTAAAGAAAAAGCACATGGTATACCTTTATATAGTTTTATCAATAGCCAAAATATCTAACCTGTTCACAAAGAATGACATCTCATGTAATTGTTTGATATTCAGTGGAATAAATATAAAAAAATAACAACAAATCCGCTCCCCATCACTCTTAAACATTAGAATACTACAAAGTATTTGATATCACGTAATGTTGCAGGTCATCAAAACAGTGACTCAAGTCTAATTCATAATGACTTTTGTGCTCTATACCCAGTTTAAATTACAGCACATTCATTGTATACTGTATATTTCCCTTTTCACATTATGCAGCCTCTTTCCTCTTTATCCCCCTACTGCCCACACCCTTATTTCTGTTTAGAAACAAGACCAAAGTGGACATGACTAATTATTGTCCCTGCATGGGTTTACGATTTTTTTATTCAACATTTTTTCTAGGATGCTTTTCTGGCTTCCTGTTTCACTATCACTCATCTCTAGACAGGAACTACATCTGAGGATTTTGGTAGGCCTTCTTAAATGTATATGGTTTATAATTTGACCATGCTACCTTTTGTTGTGGTTTTGCAATCTTGAGTCAACAAGAGATATTTTGGGTTTTTTGGTGTTGCCAATATGAACTACCACTTTCTTTTCCATGCACTGCTCATTGTTCACAGTGTAATTAGCAACTTGAGATGCAAGAATGGACGTGTACTACAACATCTAGTGTAGGGAAATCAAAGTGCGTCCGATACCAACATCGTATTACTGTATGTCTACAAATGTAGGGGTTTTGTTTTGCAATCTTTGAAAGTTGGACTAGTCATGAGACCATTCGAGGTTTAAACATGTAATATTTGTACCTTTTTGTAATGTGATCAGGCCATTAAATGGCTGTTATCAGTTGTTTTAGCTACAGTACTACTATTGCTGCAAGAGGGGCAAACTGCACCCACCAGTAGGATAGAAGTTGCATATCCAACAATGTGAAAGGTTTTCAGTTTCCTAATCTTTAGCTTCAGGTGGTCAGAGTGTGTGGTTAGTTCTAGGAAAAGGATATGTGTTTGGTTAAAAATAAGGATGCCTATTTTTGTTGTTGAACGTCAAATAACGTGGCGTAAATTACATGTGTGACGGCAATTTGCTTACGTAGGAATTTGGTTTCAGATGTGACATACTTCAGCAGACTTCATCCTTTGCATGGGTCATATTTACTATGACTGCAGTAACCATGTAAATAAATGATGATGGCTTTCTAAACCAAAAGTAAGTGAAGCAGATATCTGACAAATATCTAAGACGCTGACACCGGCCATTAAAGAGGGGAAATCATCTGAAACAAGTGTTTGTCTTTGCTTCACCTTCTTAGAAGTTTGTCAACATTTTGCACAACTTGTAAAGAAAAAATGAACATTTTGTGTTAAGAGATTTTGGTTGAATGACATGATAAGATAAAAGAGTTTAAAAAAGCAGGCCTTGGCCTCTTGTGAGGGTTTGTTTTGTGTACAGGAAGTGTGCAAACGGCAGCAGAGTGGTTGTGGTGTTGAATGGAAATTATTGAGGACACATTTTTTATAAATCTATAGTCTATAAATAATACTGATGTTTAAGACAAAAAGTGCTAACATTAGAGGATTAAATATGTGTCTTTAGATGATGCTGGTTAGCACTTTCTATATCATCACTGAATGTAAAGCAATTGTAATAAAGATGTTGAAATGTCTTTAACAAAGTCCTAACCCTACAAATAAATCATGTTATGTGCCAAATAAAAAAAGCAATTCAGCTTTTCAAACATCAGTTGTTGTAGATAGACTACATTCTCACCTGCACAGTGGTCTCCTTGTCATCTTTGTGGTAGGTCAGCGTGCTTCCTCTCAGCACAAAGTACCGCTGCTGCCAGTTCTTCACCAGAGACCTCTGCTGCTTCTTCAGCCAGCCGGCCTTCAGGGGCCTCTCCATGGACCTGGGGGAGTTAGGGGAGCCCGGTATGGGGCCTCCCTCTCCAGGTGTCACACTCCTGGATCGCGCTGCCAAACACCACAAGAGAGCTGTTGGTAAAAGTGTCATGAACAACAATCGCAAGCGTGCTGTGAAACGACACCGAAACATCAGCGCTCAGCTCAACTGGAGCTAAACACTTCCTCTTTTCTGAAGTGAGGCTGCTTCAGCCTATCAGGTTTCAGAGACCTGCGCGCTGTAGATTATTTTTGTCCCCCACCTTTACGGTTTCATGCTGAAAGGAGTGGACCAGTTTCCTGTGCTAGGTTCATGAATACAGCTGTGATTGTTCAACAGAAATAACACTGTGGTCTGCAAGAGACTGAGCATCAAACAATAAAATGCTGAAAGGTCAGAGATTAAAAGTTCACTCTGCACAGTGTGGGATTTAGTGGCAGTGCAGCCACTGTCTCTTAAAAACATGTTATGGCCACTGTTTCAAATGCATGATTATTGTTGTGTATTGAAAGAAAACAAAGTTGCAAAAGATTAGAGCTAACACTTTGTTGTTATCTAGGGGGAAATAATACTTTCAACATGGCGCAACATGGAAGAGGACCTGCTCTCTATGTCTACGCAAACGAAAGCAACAACAACAACAACCCCTTAGTCTCTGGTGACCATACACTAAAAATATATGGATATTATACTCAGTTATGCCCAGAGTTCCCTCTAAATACAGGCCCAGAAATCTAAATTCAGATTCAGATTCAGATTCAACTTTATTGTCATTACGTAGTACATGTACAAGTGACGAAATGTAAGTTTAGGCATCTGACCAGAAGTGCAAAAAAGCAGTGCAGGAGTCTACATAATGAGAATAATTATACATGGAATTATTATAAATAGAATAATTATAAATGTTTAGGATTAGAGTTTTTTAAGGTCACTCTTCGTGGACACTTGTCCCCCTTGAGTTTATTTGAGTGACCCTGATGCTTTAATGGAGGGATGAAAGGCGGAGGTCTACGTGGCTCAGAGAGACAGAGTCACACGCAGGACTGAGGACCCGCACAGATATCTTGATCATGATTCAGCCCACTCGCTCAGTTGTTCTTAAATTCACCGTGTCTTGTTACGCAAGATGACAGAGGAGAAGAGAAGAAGAAGGGCCGCTCCGGCGTAAACAGGAAGCTGCCACATCAACGCCGGATGGCCGGCCGCACTTTGAAGGCCTCCACCTAGAGCTCTGAGGGTCCTTTGGTCTCATTTTAATAGTGTCACCTCCCCTTATTAGTGGAAAGTTAAAAGGCTGTTGAGGAACCCTGAAGCCCACACACAGAGAGAGATGTCACACCACACCCACAACTCCTTTAAACGGGCCTCAACAGCACCACAAAGATGTGTTCAGGGACTGCTATTAACAGGAATTAAAATGCAAGACTCAGGGCAGAAGAGTTACATATTCATAGAGTGGAGGCTTTTCATAAAACTTAAGAAATGTGAAATTTCATTAGATTTCATAGTTATAAATGCACCTGTAAAGTTGGGCGTACAGGGCGGAATTTCATAAATCATGCACAATATTGTTAGTGTGTAATACTGAGGCACCGAGGCCCTTATAGCCCTATTTGAAACGTCTGATTTACAAAATAAAGGGATAAATATATATCATCACATGCTTCTGTGATATAACTCTTTGTTTGTTTATAACTTGTTTTTAATGATGTTCCTCCATCTTTATTGTCTACCTTTACATACATTTAGGCTGCATCTTGCATTAAAGGTGCTATATAAATAAAGTGTATTATTATTATTATGATCTATTTTTTTAATTACATTTTTTCTTATTTGATATTATTATTATTGTTATTTTTGTATTAATCTTGTATTTTCTTTTACTTGTAATTGTAATGTTTTTAATTAAATAAAACGTTCTTTATTTTTCTTTATTTACTTTAATTGATTTATGTGACTTTTATTTTATTTTTTGTGAACATCAGTTTGGTAAACACATGGACTGCCTTTTTTATTTCCTATTTTTTGGGGATGTATAATAAACACATTTAATCTGCCTTTTATTTTCCTTATCAGTGTCTACATTCAATGACAGATATTAAATTCAAGAGGGTAAATGTAATATTATTCCAGCAGCAACAGCAGCAGTAGTAATAGTAGTAGTAGTTGTTGTAGTAAAGTATAGTGCAGCATACACCTTCAAATAGATGTCCTTTATTACGTTACTATTTTAAATGTAATTACTTGTTATTGATATTTCTCAAATCTTTATATGTGTGTTTGAGTTTATAAAAGTAAAAAAAGCTAAAATACATAAAAACTAAACAAGTATTCCTGTACACTGACAGACGTGTGCTTGTGCTTTCGAAATCCTAACATAAGGATGACTGTAACACATCATACACACATAATCACATATACAGTGGGGCAAAAAAGTATTTAGTCAGCCACCAATTGTGCAAGTTCTCCCACTTAAAAAGATGAGAGAGGCCTGTAATTTTCATCCTAGGTACACTTCAACTATGAGAGACAGAATGGGGGGAAAGAATCCAGGAAATCACATTGTAGGATTTGTAATGAATTAATTGGTAAATTCCTCGGTAAAATAAGTATTTGGTCACCTACAAACAAACAAGATTTCTGGCTCTCACAGACCTGTAACTTCTTCTTTAAGAGCCTCCTCTGTCCTCCACTCGTTAACTGTATTAATGGCACCTGTTTGAACTCGTTATCAGTATAAAAGACACCTGTCCACAACCTCAAACAGTCACACTCCAAACTCCACTATGGCCAAGACCAAAGAGCTGTCAAAGGGCACCAGAAACAAAATAGTAGACCTGCACCAGGCTGGGAAGACTGAATCTGCAATAGGTAAGCAGCTTGGTGTGAAGAAATCAACTGTGGGAGCAATTATTAGAAAATGGAAGACATACAAGACCACTGATAATCTCCCTCTATCTGGGGCTCCACGCAAGATTTCACCCTGTGGGGTCAAAATGATCACAAGAACGGTGAGCAAAAATCCCAGAACCACACGGGGGGACCTAGTCAATGACCTGCAGAGAGCTGGGACCAAAGTAACAAAGGCTACCATCAGTAACACACTACGCCGCCAGGGACTCAAATCCTGCAGTGCCAGACGTGTCCCCCTGCTTAAAGAGCCTGTGACAGCATCCCAACAACTGTTGTGCAATGAAATATTGGGCTACTAGTAATCTCGAACCGTCAGTTTAAAAAAGAAAAAGCGATACCGTTCCGTTAAATATCAATAATTTCGAACATCGCGGGGAAATTCCTTCGACTCATTTTGAAGTTTTGGGGGAAGCCGGAAGTGACGTCAATGCGGAAACGCTTCACTGTGCGGCGAGAGAGCCAAACACGGACAAAGTGTGTTGTCATGCGTAGAAATTGTGAATTACTGAGTTTAGGCACGTTAATAACGTTTTAATGAAGTTGACTACAGTATATTCATATTTGTCAGTGCTTTCATGTCAATTCGGCGAACATAAACATAAATGATCGTGGTGAAGATGATGATTACATTAGGATTAAAAATCGGTAGTGAGAGCTGCTGAATTTCCTCCCGTAGGATGTGATATAAAAACAAATCGATTATTTTTGTAGTTGTAAACTCAAGTGGATGAAACTACATGTATTAGTGCTTTCATGTCAATTCGGCGAACATATGATAGATTAAATGATCGTGAGAATGATGATTAAAAATCGTTTGTTTGTGCATTTCCTGATGAGAAAACAAACCGATGCTTTTTGTAGTAGTACACCAACATGGATTAAACGTGTGGTTTTTTCACCACAATGTTGGGGAAATTAATGGATAAAATGCACAGATTATTATTATTATTATTATTCCCACTCCGATCGGGACACTATAGGTCCACCGTTTCCCCGCAGCGAGGCTCCCCCCGTTGACAGTTTACTGGGCTGGGTGCAGTGGTGGACTGGCCATCGGGACGAATCCCGATGGGCCGGTACCGAAGTGGGCCGGTCGGATAAGTCACTAGCACATCCCCCATAGGCGGCGCGTGAGGCTCAGGTTTGGGAAGGCTAAATAACTTTTTTTACCTGACGCTGCCCGCCTCCGGCGTCTATAGAAAAGAGATCAACTCAGTGTGCGGAGTTTAAATCTCTCAAGTCATATTACAGGATAAAGGAAATACAGTTTAAACTGCCGTATGCAGAGAAAACGCCGACGTGTCGCACTTATCATTCATATTACATCATCAATCAGATCATCGATCATATAATATCATATATCATATATTTCCTTATCTGCCGTGTCTGGCCGTGCAACACTTACAGTGTCACATACTATATGCAGAAGTATTATTTTTAGCAACACATTATGTTGACGAAACACTCGAGTCAAATGTAATTAAAGTCAGATCACTCGTGTCTTAGACGTGAACGCGCTCTCAGCTGGAGAGAGAAACCCTGGCTTGATTTACCGAGTTGATAACCAGCGTCGAAGGACCGCTTAGCGAGATCTCGTTAGTTAGTTTGTTGTTGTTAGTTTGTGTGTTTCTCAAACATATCCAGGGTCTGTTGAACTGGCTTCGTAGTACAGGGCACATGTGGCTGGCAGCGCTAATGTCAAAGACACAGACATTGCATTATATTTGTATTTTACCAGGATGCAGTGACACAAATATTTACATATTTACATTTACTATCTACAGCACCCGCCGCCCCTGACATCCCCCACTCCCCCCGTTGACAACTTACTAGCGGTACCGAAGTGGGCCGGTCGAGAGTCCCGGGATTTTTAGTCCCATTCCACCACTGGCTACATGACCGTATGATCGCCCATATTGACGCACCTAATTCCTAAACTTCTAACAGATACAACATAAAGCGATCCGTCAGACTCATATGAGCTCTCAGACACGTTCAAAATGAAACTGTCATCGCTGTCTGAGCTTGCTGCGTGTGCACCATCGTGCGTTTACATGCAGATGCTGGGATCCTGAACGGTGCAGCTGGAGCGCTGTGCCCGCAATGACGTCACACGTAATTTGGCGGGACTTGAAGAATCCCCGAGCAGATCCAGGAAATGGTCAACATTGAAGGGCAGATTAATGGTTATCAAAGTACAAATATCCAAAATCAGTTCAGTAACGGTTTTCAAGGGGACAATATTTACTCAAATTGATGGGTTTGGATGATGGGGGAAACTCGTGTCACAGGCTCTTTAAGCCAGTACATGTCCAGGCCCGGCTGAAGTTTGCTAGAGAGCATTTAGATGATCCAGAAGAGGATTGGGAGAATGTCATATGGTCAGATGAAACCAAAATAGAAATGTTTGGTAAAAACTCAACTAGACGTGTTTGGAGGAGAAAGAATGCTGAGTTGCATCCAAAGAACACCATACTGAAACATGGGGGTGGAAACATCATGCTTTGGGGCTGTTTTTCTGCAAAGGGACCAGGACGACTGATCTGTGTAAAGGAAAGAATTAATGGGGCCATGTATCGTGAGATTTTGAGTGACAACCTCCTTGCATCAGCAAGGGCATCGAAGATGAAACGTGGCTGGGTCTTTCAGCATGACAATGATCCCAAACACACCGCCCGGGCAACGACGGAGTCGCTTCGTAAGAAGCATTTCAAGGTCCTGGAGTGGCCTAGCCAGTCTCCAGATCTCAACCCCATAGAAAATCTTTGGAGGGAGTTGAAAGTCTGTGTTGCCCAGCGACAGCCCCAAAACATCACTGCTCTAGAGGAGATCTGCATGGAGGAATGGGCCAAAATACTAGCAACAGTGTGTGAAAACCTTGTGAAGACTTACAGAAAACGTTTGACCTCTGTCATTGCCAACAAAGGGTATATAACAAAGTATTGAGATGAACTTCTGTTATTGACCAAATACTTATTTTCCACCATAATTTGCAAATACATTCTTTAAAAATCAGACAATGTGATTTTCTGGATTTTTTTTACTTATTTTTTTTCTCATTCTGTCTCTCATAGTTGAGGTATACCTAGGATAAACATTACAGGCCTCTCTCATCTTTTTAAGTGGGAGAACTTGCACAATTGGTGGCTGACTAAATACGTTTTTGCCCCACTGTATGTAGGCACAGTTACATACAGACAAAGTTCTGCAGAAACTGAGCTCTTGCATCAGTTTCCTGTTGAAAACCTGCGTCACTGCAGCTTCAAAGAATAAAATCAGTCACAGTTAGGGTCAACAAATCATGTCAAGGCAAACAAAAAAACAGGAGGGGGGTCGCCCGCTTTTCAGGAAGTCATGCTTTCATACTAAATTAAGAGCATGGTCATAATAGCATCTGCAGGTCACCCTTGAAAAAGAGATATTTTGATCTCAAGGGGCTTTCACCTGGTTAAATAAAGGCTACAAATAAACAAACAAGCACCTGATAGTCAGTCAACATGGAGCAGAACAAAATACATAGTACATGCAGCAACTTCCTTCCACAGTGCTGAAATACCACTGATTGTGAAAATGATTACAGAAAAAATGATGCAGGTAGTGTACAAAGACAGGACTGCACGAAATAATCTTTATCCAGCCACTACTTATGGGCAACCATCTTTTATTAAATGATGCATCTGCTGTGTGCTCTGAGCCTGAAAGAGGAAACCAGGCATGTTGATGCCGCCCTACGCAAACAATGTCTAGACTTTAGGAAGTCTAGACATCTGTAGAGACACTTATTGTGTATATATAGTATTGACTGCACATCGTATGCATATCAACCACTGCACTGCTAAATTGTTATGTAAAGGTGATTTAGGAAAGCACTCTAAAAGGGACACGTCAGCTCAAAAAAGATCATTTATGTATCCATTACTAACCCTGTGTGTGTAATTGAATTCTTAAAGAAAAATCTTGATGAATGGAACTTAACGGGGGCGTCGTTGAACAACGGCTAAACTATCAAAACATCTGTTTAATCTAATTCAAAGTCTTATTTATCCAGTCCTATCACTCACTTTCAAACAGATGCACTTTCGCTGACACCTCAACAGTTTCACCCTTGTGCATGCACTATACTTTGAGGTGTTTCAAATAGTGCAGTTTTATTGAAAAGTCATGCTTGTTAATGCAAGATTGAATACATGAGACTTGGATTTTACTGCATGGGTTGAGTGAGAGTTTGTAAATAGATGTGTTGGCATTGGTTTAAAAAAACTGCTCCCATTTACTTAAATTCACAATAATTGTCTCAGTTTTTCCATTCTTAAAAACACCAAGGAGATTTCTTCAACATTTCAAGGTAACACACGGTGAGGAATCGACATATACATATTATTTTTTAAGTGATGCATTGCTTTAACCTTTTGAATGTCAAGATATGTTTTAAT